TAAAAAATGGTGAAGTTGCTCATGCGAAAGCCGTCGCAGAAGAGTTTGGAAAATCTTCTAAAAGCAAGAATGCTTCTTCTTCTTCAATGGAGGTTGATGAGGTAGCTAATGGTTTGGAAGAACTCGACATGGATAATTATGATGAAGAGGATGACGGTAAATCAACTTATGATAAGTTATACAAATTTCTAGTTCAAAACTAATTGACAATGATTAAATCATTTCATATATATATATTAGTTTAGGTCTCATTTTATTTCAGATGTATGATTTTTTTACCGTCCATTTTGTAGATTTATATATCGGCCATATGTAAAATTATACCTTCATTGTTGTGTTTGGATTCAGAAATTGAAATTTTTAGCTCTGGGCATGGGGATCTTTACTATGCGAGTAATGAGATGGATCCATATCTCAATAATAATGGTGTAAGCCCCTATATCACTTATATGTATAAACATTTTCATGCAAATATTACTTTTTGTATAGACAATAAAAATGTTTGTCTTTCTAGCATGATGATGACGACGACTCAGATGATGATCAAACAATCTTACCAACCGATTCAATGATTGTTTGCGCGAAGAGCGACAATGCATCCAAATATGACAATAAAGCCAACTATCTTGACGTTTGTCATTAATCCCTCTCGCATCTATTTTATTTTGTTTTCGCTACCCAAATCTAACATATGAACGTATGATCCAGGTTAATGTATGTGAGGAAACATCAAATGGCTCTCCAAACACGTATGTTCATCATCACATAATCATACCAAAAATTCCTTTGTGTACTGCTTGGCTTGATTGTCCACTTAAAGGAGGGGAAAAAGGTCAGTAATATGCATCAATAAAAGTTTTATCAACCATCACAATTGGATTCTTAATTCTTCCTATAGTTTAATTATATCATTATAATCTCTCTTTTTTCCGTATTGGTAGGGAATTTTGTAGCGGTTGGTTCATATAAAACGCCTATAATAGAGATATGGGATCTTGCATGACGTTGTATGTTTACACACTGTCTTTTCTCTTTATCAATCATGAAACTATATTGCTACTTAATAACTTAAGTTGTTTATAATGCATTTAGTTGGACGATGTGTTACCTTGTGTACAACTAGGAGGAAAAAAACGAGGAAGGGGTGAGTAATATTTAATTTGATTTTTGTTTTCAACAACAAAACTATTTTTTAATTTAATTTCACAAAGCATTTGTTAAATTTGATTTCTCGACCTCTGTCTTTAGATTTACAAAGAAGGTAGCCACACTAGATCAGTTCTTGGTCTTGCTTGGAACAAGGAGTTTCGGTATGTCCATATGATTGAATCTATTTCTTCATATTTGCTTCTTTAATTTAGAAGACGTCTTGAATTATTTATTTTTCTTAAACTTTATTAAAAAAAAGGGAAATACTTGCTAGCGCCAGTCGCGACAAGAAAGTTAAAGTTTGGGATGTGGCTACTGAAACATGCAAGATTACTATGGAACATCACACAAAGAAGGTATAAACATTCATATATCAATATTACCAACGTTTCTTAATCTCTTCGGGTCACGCATATAAGTTCTCATGGTTTATTTGTTTGTATGGTTCCACAGGTTCAAGCGGTTGCATGGAACCATCATTCTCCAGAAGTTCTTCTCAGTGGGTCATTTGATCAAACTGTTGTATTGGTAAGTGTTTTTAAACCATTACTTATATAACAATGGACGATCATTAATATCGGTTTTGATTATTTATAAATGTTGCAGAAAGACGGAAGAAACCCTTCACACTCGGGGTTTCAAATGGTCAGTCCTGTCCGTTGTCGAAAGCTTAGCATGGGATCCTCATAGTGAACACTCCTTTGTGGTATTTGCTACAGTTTAATTTACAATCTTTTTTCTTACCGTAATTTTTTTTTATAAACGGTGAAGTTCAGTACCTTTGGTCCATAACCTGGTCCGAAGCCATTGATACTAGCGTAAATTACTTCTCTTAAATAGAGTGCTCTCAAGAACCACTAGACGATCACCTACTTTGTGATGATTTCTTAACCGGTTTTAAAACATTTTTATTTTGTTTCCCTTTTAATAGGTTAGTCTCAAAGATGGAACTGTAAAGGGCTTTGATGTACGTCAAGCCTTAAATTCAGCCTCTGATTTAGAACCTAGTTTCACTCTCCATGCACATGACAAAGCAGTCACTTCCGTCTCATACAACACTTCTTCCCCGAATGTAAG